GTATCATGTTCAATATTAGCTTCATTTCCTCCACCTTTGTCACCGTCGCTAGCCGCCATGGACTTTCCTTCTCCGCCGGTGCTCCACTTTCTTCATAAATCGCTGCTTTGTCTAGAAATCTGAATTCCAAAGTTTTAATTTTTATGATTTGGAAATGTATTTAGGAGATTAAAATGGGATCAGTGAGCTAACCAAACCAAGTAAAGTAAGTTACCAACTTACGGTTAGTTGACAAATTGTGGACTAAGTTTTGTGTTTTAACTACGAAAATTGTTACCTGTTCTTAACTTGAAGTGAAAGTTTGCCAAATTAGTGTTCTTAACGAGTAAGATTGTCAAATTGCTAAAGAGAAAGTTTAAGAAACTAGTTAGTTCTTTTTACACTGTATGTTCTTTTCAATACAACAACGAATAGAATTGAAAAGCTAACGACTTAATGTTTCTTTGCTCCAAAAGAGTTGTCCACTCAATTTGTTCCTTTGATTCTTTTTATTTGTTTCGATGTATTATTTTTTATTTATTTTGACATATTTTGATCGAGGGTCACATCCCTATCATTGGTAGGTTAAGTTAAGCATCCAAAAGATTTATCCCCTTCGTTCGTTTACTTTTTTTTTAGTTGCTTGGAAAGATGGTAAAGTTAATACTTACTTGAGCTTGTGGGTGTGGTACAAGAACCTTCCATGAGCGTTATTAGCCGTCTTAGGAGTTTCATGCAACAAACAAGGATTCGTTGGGTAAGGAAACTTTCTCTTTCGAATGGCCGCCACAAGAACCTGCAACAACGGCGTCAACGGACTTCCAGACGGTTGTCGGTACCGATAAAACGGCCGTCCGATGACAAAAATGACTATAGAAACTGCCATCACCGCTGTAAGAATCAAATCTCCAGCTCCCCAACTGATATGATCTTGTACATAAACAATAACTGTAACGCCAAACAACAATCCAGAACAAAGACCGAAGTTCCACCAATTGAAATATGACATTTTTTTCTTTCGTTCTTCTGGATGATCGTCGTCGAATTGATCGGCTCCGAAGCTCTCGAGCGACGGCTTGTGGCCGCCGGTTCCTATGGAGATCAAGTAAATAGCAAGGAAGAAGATGATCTCGTGGATCTTCCTTGGTTGTGTGCAGTCCTGATCATTGCTTCCACAAAATTTTAAACTCGGAATAGTGGCCGACATGGTTAAGAGAATCAAACCCTGAGCAGAGAATATTTAACTTTGAATTACTGTTTACCATATGCATCATATCTCACATTGACTAAACATAATTTTATATTGACATTGGAGAAAAGAAAAGAACGGACCAAGACGTAGAGAATGGAAGAGAGGAGGACGGTGGCATAGCGGCCGAAGTACGCGTCGGCGAGAAAGCCGCCGAGGAGCGGCATCAAAGTGGTGACGCCGGTCCAGTAATTGACACTCCTGGCCGCCGTCTTCAGCTCTTGATGAAGAACTTTCGTCAAATAAATGATCAAACTTGTGGCGATCCCAAAATAACTCAGCCGCTCACCAAACTCGATGGCTGCAAATCCCATAAGTTTTCAAAACAAAAGAAAGATTGATCATTCATGTCAAACACTTGGGAAATTCATTACCTATGATGAACAGAGAGGCTTTCCAAGCACCGGTGGAAGCTCTTAGAGGAACTCTCCCTTTGTAATCAACTGAAGAATCGGCAACCCATTTCTCATGATCACCGCCGCCTCCGCCGCCATCGCCGCCGCCATTGACTTCTGATCTTTGCAATTCTTCTCTCTCGGCCAAGCCTTTCATCATCCCAAAGAAACCCAACACGAAATTTGGTTTCTTTTTCAAAAGCTATCCGCCACCAAAATCTTGGATCTTAGCTGCTCCACTTTGCACTCGTTATATAGCCCAAGATTTTGACCGTAAAACACACTTAATTTTCTTACCCTCTATGGTAAAAATGGAATAGATGACGTAGTTGAAGTTAAAAACAGGAACTTTTTGTCTTGTTTTTTCATGGTGTGGTGTGTGATTAGTAGTGAGGGAATAGGTTTGGAAGCCAATTTGTGTGGTGGGAAATTTGGGAAGTGGGTTAGAAGCTATACTCATTAAAGTGGAATAATGTTTATATTCCACCATACAATGAATATAATGCAATTTTAAGAAAAATTATTAAGCCCTTAGATTTGGTTTAATTCTTTTATTAACATGGTGGGTGGCCTTTGATTGGGGAAAAGAATTAGTTCGGCATGAATTGGTTGAAGATAACTATCTGTGAAAAACACTCGCACATTTATTAAGACCAATCAAGAAGAGATAACTAGGTGGGAAACACTCGCACACTTCATTAAGACCAATCGAGAAGAGATTTACACTCACAAACTTTATTAAGACCAATCGAGAAGAGATAACTATCTGTGGGAAAAACTCGCACACTTTATTAAGACCAATCGAAGAAAGACTAAACTTTGTATTGTTTGGGATTTCTTAGGATGATGATCTAAATAGGGTGGAGGGGTATTTATAGGTAGTCAGTCTATTCACTCTTAGAATCGAGAAGTAAAAAACATGATTTTGTTATAGTGGAATGTCAATACCACTAAATGCGAAATTCATATCCAAATCCTGATTCGAGTCCTAGGTATTGATCGTTACACTGTTACTTAGTTGAAATAACTTTTAATGTTCGAGCACGAACGGTACCTTCATACTTTGTACGTTATTCGACATTGAACAATACATGAATGTAAACCGAAAAGCAAAATGTTTGATTTGTATTGTAATTAATTTGAAATTAAGTTGCCCATTGATTAGGTAATGTTGTATGGGAATCTATAATTAAAGCCCTAAGATTTGGTCTAGAGAAAAGCAAGCATATCACTATTTATCAAAGTTAAAAAAAAAAAATTTAATTAAACATGATGGATCAACCATTGTTTGTTCCCACCATTCCAAAAAAATAAATAAATATTGTTCCCACCCAATATAATTAATTAATTAATTAATTAATTAAGAGCTGTCCCCCATGTAATTGACCTACTAAAACCAACTTTTGACCCTTAATTCTCTCTTAATTATTCACTCTTTTATTAAATTTCTATCCTTTTTTTTTTTCAAATAAATTTAAATCCAATTTTTATTGACAAAATCTAGTTGACACCAACCATATAGTGTAACGAGAAGACATTACGTACTATTAAAAATATACCGTCTTGTACTATTGTGGACAACTTTTCAAGACCGAACAAATGTTGTTCGAGGGAAGGATTTCTAAGGGTGCAAAAAAAAGTGGTAGAAATTATGTAACCCACAATGTGATCTATGGTGGAGAGTTATTGGATAAGAGATGTACTTTGAAGAAAGAGGAGTTGTCCTCGATAAGAGAAAAAATGACTAATTTTGAAAGGCTCGACTTGGGAGTAAAACTAGATAAGAAGAAAATCATGAACATATGAGTCAACGAAAACAGATACGAGACGTTTATGATAAAGCCAAAAATAAAGTAAACAGCCAATAACCAAAGACATCGGTAAATATTCCTTTTCATTGTGGTCATACCACCCCGTTTAAAGATCATAATTAAACTACCTTGAATTGTTTCTTCTAGACAACTTTATTCTTTTTAAAAAATTTAAATCCCCTCTCATCCATCTAATGGCTTACCCATATCTTTAATTATTCTATGTATGAATTGAATGACAAATATTAGAGAAGATAATTAGTTCACAAACGTTGACTTTATATTCCGAAAAGAATTCGGTAAATAAGTAGTCAAACTCCGACAAAAATCGAGTTTACATTGTATTCAATATGCGACAATAATCATTCAAAAAGACAAAGGGACATCGTTAGAACTCATGTAATCCTAAGTAAAATGGTTAAGGTTTGTTTGTCATTTTGTTGGAAAAGGAACAAAAAAAAGTTGCAGTAAAAGGTAAAAAGAAGGCAAAAGAGTGAAAGAGCAGCCAACAGAAGCAGCTTTGGTTTTGGTTTTGGTATTGGCAGTGCGTGTGAGATTCATGGAGGTCAAATCCATCATTCTCACTAAGATTCTCTCTTCACTTTCATTTTCAATCTCATATCTCTCCCTCTCTGCATAATTTGATTTGGATCCCATACCTTCAAAACCAAAATTCTCCAGCTTTTCTTCAAGGAATATATTCTATTCTATATCTTTATCTCTAACCCACATGCCTACATGATATGCTAAACAGATTCCCACTAATGTTTTTCATTTGTCTCTCTCGAACCCGATAAGCGATCGAAAAGATCACTGATGAGTATTGATTGAGTTGATCGAATGTTTTTTTTAGAAATTTTTGATTTAGTTTGATGGGATAATTCAAGAAAAAAGAATACTTTTCTATAAGTGGGTTTTTTACTAATTTGTAAAGAATTAGATTAGATTGCTGTATTTCACTTCAATGTCTTATCAGTTTCTCATTCTCTTCAACATTTGAAACTGTTCTTTGATGTGCCATTCCATTATTACAACAACTTGGTTTGTAATATTGAAAAACAATTGTATTGGTAGCTGAGTCAGAATCATCTTCGACGGGAGACGTTCGTAGTTCAGCAGCCTGATAAATGATAGAGGATGGTCTTTCTTTCTATGATTATGGTGTGTTCGATCCTTGTGGAGGGGGGAATTCTACTCCGTCTCCAAGCCCTTCTTCTCATCCATTCCAAACTTAGAATTATAAATCTGCCCACAAAAGAGAATATTACTTTTGGGTCTGAATCATCAGAAAAGGTTCAAAACTATCATAATTTTCTCCAGTATTACCTTAGCAAAGCAGAGAAAGAGATACCAAGTAGTCTAAACAAGATTGGTCCGTCCATGCCATAACAGTAACAATCACTTTATTTGATTGGGGTGTCTGTGATATGTGGAATGGTCTTTAAATGGTGCTGGACAATCTCTGTTAAACAAAAGGAAGTTTTACTGCATTACATGTGTGTTCTAATAGTACTTGATATGTGGAATGGTCTTTAAATGGTGCTGGACAATCTCTGTTAAACAAAAGGAAGTTTTACTGCATTACATGTGTGTTCTAATAGTACTATATCTTCAAACAGATAACAATCTTATCAATACTCTGAACATATCTATAGATCCTAACAATGATCGAGGATGAGTTTAATATCAAATTTGGAACCGTGAATAGCATATTTAGATAACGGAAGCACTTTTCAAATTCTATGAACGAAACTATTGGAAAAATGGATGTGTTCTTGCCACAAGTGTTTAAAGGGGAGTAAAAGAGGAGAAAATGTATAAGAAGATTATGAACAAGTGAAAAGGTTGAAATAGCCGCCCACCTCTGCCGAAGTCAACAAGTTATCAAAAAGCCAATGACAAAACTATTTTGCAAAAAAAACTTCTCAGCTAACCATAGAACTATTGTGACTGTAGCACTAGTGGCGTTTTGTGATGGAAACCTAAAATCCACTAAGCTATATTCGAGTGGACACTTAGTTAAAACATGTGGAAACCAGAAGATTAAATCGATTATGATGGTTGACCATGAAGACTTGATCTTATTGGACCAATAAATGGGAAAGAACTATCACAAAAATGGGTAGAATATAGCTTTTCGACCAAGAAGACAGCAAGAACAAAGCATAGCATCAAATGAACCAGAACCGAAAGAAAACGAAAACAGTTCTCACTTTGGTCTTATCAACAAATCTACAGCAACTGAACAATTCTAAGAAAGCTAAAAAAACCCTACAGAAGCTAGAAAAATATTGAAGAATAGTGGTACCTGAGTTAGTAAATATAGCAATGATGCCCAGGGAAAGCAATTCCATCCCTGTGGATAATGATATCTCTAACTTATCAGTCCAAGCCTGTTAAAGCTCCTATAGTGTATTTGACATTAGGTGCATGAGATATGTACGTCATTAATACTATGAATACAGGTCAACCAAAATGGATGTGAGGCTAAGCGACTAAAGGTATAAAGGGACTTACTACCTACAAAATGCGACTTTTTGATCAATGCATTATGTAGCACTCAATCACAAAGACAGCCCCAGTAGTGATTGGATATGCTTGCGAGTCACAGAGGCAATAGCAAATGTGTAATTGCAGACAATATGCTTGGACAAAAAATAACGAAGGATGCGATTCTACTATCATCTGACAAGTATAGCTAAAATGGGCGGGTGAAGTGCTCTACCAATAATATTTTATTTTCCTGTGCAATTTTCAGGACTTCTTAATTGAAATCATCACACAGAATGCAATATAGAAACAGTTTATCGGTATTCACAGACGGGAGAAAAAGAGAACTTTCTTTAAAGAATATGATTGAAAACAGAAACTACCATGCTCTAAATGAAGCTGACGCTAATCTAGAAGATAGACCATGAGTCTGTTCTGGGATCGCGAACTTCACTTATGTTTCATGGTTGATTTGCAAGTATAATCTGCCTAAATACTCGAATGATACTGGTTCTTCATGTTTTTTTTTTTTTTTTCCTTCAATTGTAGGTTAATAATGAAAGCATTGCACCAAATAAAATTGGTTTTCCCTTTAAAATGGAAGCTACATAAGAATTCTAAGGCTGTACGAAATTAGGAAGAGGTAGGCTAACACCCAGCATGGAAAAGAGTTTCCACCAAACTTACTTAGTGAAAGGGACCTCTAGAATAAGGGATTAGAAATTCGCTACTTTGCACACGTATAAGAGTAAATTTCAGTGGGACAGAAGTTGTCAAAACCTTCTTAATTCAATATCAAAAAGTGCCAAAATGTATTGCAACCAATGAGCCAACCAGCAGATAAGATCACATAATTATTTGTCACATCTTGCATAATAGCAAAGACAATTCTAATAAAGCTAAAAGAACCTACAGAAGCAAGCAAATGCTTAAGAATAACGATACCTTGAGGTTTTTTTTACAGCACCTATATTTGGCCAAAGTTATCTTCATCCCTGTTGATAATGCTATCTCCAATTTATCTGGCTAAGCACATTTAAGTACCTGTACAAGTATTTGACATTAAGTGCTTGAGATAGTGCGCCATTAATATTATCTCTAGAAGGCAATCGAAGGATGGCAACTCGCTACAGGGTTCAAAAAAGAATACAACAATGTGTTACTCGATGCCCAATCCCTTCCCACAGCTTCTGTAATTTCATTGACGTGTTGAAATTACAAAAAGAAGGCAATCCCCTCAGAATTAAATCTCTTATAAAAAAAAAAGTTTCAAATGGGATGTGAGGTAAGAGGGATCAAAATAAAGAAAGATTAATAATGACACCAAGTAATAGCCATAAAAACTAGTGATTCAAGAAAACTATTAAATGATCTTTCCTTATCACAAAAGATGCCGCTATTTTGCGCACACATAATGGTCCAGAAGAAAGTTATAATAAGATTACACCAAAGAATCTCTTTTCCGCCCTTGAAAGGATGCCCAAGCAGAACAGATGGTAAGAGAGCATTCAAATTGTACAAAGTCACTATATGACATTGACAGTGGGATTTTACATTTGATGGCATCAATCATAAAGTTAGCACTACCATATAATTGGATATACTTGTGAGCTGACGGAGAGCCGCATAAAGTACCAATTGCATAAACATTGCACAAGATCTGCTTATGAAACAACAAACAGAAGAATATGAAAGGATGGTGAGACGCTACCATCATCAAACAAGTGCAGCTCGAATGGATGGCTGAAGTTCTCTGTAATAGTATTTATGCTGCTGTGCAATACTGTGTTCCTTGGATTGAAAACACCAAAAGGAATGCAATATCAGACAAATTTCTTCCCATTCACAAAGGAAGGAAAGAGGTTTCTTTCTTTCTTTTCTTTTCTATCTGAACCTAAGAAGCACAAACACGAAGACGACGAAACGCCAATTTCTAAAGAACAAGGACACGTCCATTGGGGACACGTTCTTTTCTTTATTATTACTTCAATATTTATGGAAATTTAACATAAAATACTAAATATACTCCATTAAAAAGCATAAAATAGCAAGTACTCTAATTTAGTTTAGCTCACCGAAAGCTAAGAAAAAATAAAAGTAATTTAAGTGGTGAATAACCGACAACAAAGAGAAATTTACCTCTACAAAAGCTTGACCATAAAGGGTGGAATACATAATCTGCCTTACTATTAGAGGAAGGACAAAGGACAAGTTGAAGGCCTGAAGAGTCTTCAGAAAATTTGTACTGTATAAGAACAACCTAGAAAAATATGATTAGCATTTTTGCACATGGCCTTTACCAGAATGCACCAATTTGTTTTAAGTACTGTTTGGATAGTAGCCTGGAATTTTATCATCAGTGTTAACTGTTGAGGCCTCAGAGATAAAATCAAATGAGAAATTTAATCATCCATTGCTTTGGCAATTATACTATCCTATCATTGAAGAAAGTCTTGGAAAAATGGTAATCTTCTCGGAAATAGATATGAAATAATATCTTGAAAGAGAAAGACCAGATGAATATGAGACCATAAGATTAGCAACTCCAAATTTTGATCATACAGATTGGTTCATAGATCCAGTAACCAATCATTGTTTTGAGCATTTCAACTGTGGTATTCCATATCTTGGGAAAATTTTGAACAAGAATGTTATCTGAATGCATAGATTAGGTCAAATCCACCCCGGTTGTATTATTCTTCATAAAATCCTTGAGACTTAAAAGATGAGATAGAGTTCCGAGGGCTATAGTTGGAGAAGTTAGTGTTAAATTTAGGAGTCCATCCCACCTCCTCTTTATGGATGCTGACCCCAGCCACATGGTGGAGGCGATCTTCTGAAACTTATAGAAGACAGCACTGAATTGGATCCAGAAGAGGGAAAAACAACGACAACTAAGTGGTGGAGGTGATCATTTGAGATTCCAATATTTATTGGTCATTTGAAGTAGATGAATTCTATGAATAAGAGAATAGTTAGTTAGAGATGTGAACAACCAATTCACCTCAAGCAAAACTGCTAAAGAGAAGCAAATTTGACTAGTGGCTCCAATTCTGAAATGCCTTCTTCCTCATGAGACAGTGTAGACATACGTTGAGAAAAGCAGTCCATGACATACTGCTAATTTCCATGATACCACGAAAAGAGGATGTATTACAGTGACCAAGCCCACAAATGTGTAAATACACATGGGCACTTGCGCGGGGCAAGTAAACACTAAACAGTATCTGATGAGAAATTTAGACAGTTGAAGTTTTAACACAAACTAAAGATAGTAGTTACACCATAACTTTCAGCAAGCTTGTTTAAACTGTGTCAAGTGAAAATATTAGGAAGAGCTAACACTCTTGATAGACTTTTGAGGAAGACGTCTTCGTTGTTTGGCCCATTCTATTGCATCTTTAGTCAGGAGGTGTAAGAAGATCTAGATCATATCCTTTGGAGCTATGACTTTGCACCTTTTGTTCACAGTTTTTTCTTTCAAGTGTTTGGTTTTTGGTGCGCCGGACATACAGATCACAGGGAGATGTTTGAGGAGTCCTTCCTCCATCTGCCTTTTCAAGAGAAGGGGAGGTCTTTGTGGTAAGCTGGGGTGAGTGCGGCGTGCCGTGTTGTGAGGTATTTGGGGGTAGAGGAACAATAGGACCTTTATGGGAGTCGAGAGGGGACCTTCTGATGTGTGGTTCTTAACAAGATTCATTGTTTCTTTTTAATCATGATATCCACAAAAATTTGTACAGTGTGCCCATTCAGGGTTGAAGCATTCTTCCATTATAAAATCTTCCACTTTTTTATGCTTTTACAAGAAGAGAATCAAACTAATAATCTGCCTACAAGCAACATGTAAAAAAAACATATTTGTGACAACAAATTGTGGAGTGAATAGATAGACATAAAGAGTTAATAAGTCAGTGCATTATACAAGACATTTACAGTGGATATGCAATTAAGTATTTCTCAGCCATCTCTAAAACTAAACAAGTCCAAAAGATATTATTAAACGAGAAGGTATTTTATACATACTTTGAAAGACAACCACATCAGCTAACCTTCCTATGAGACATTATCAGCCTTTCCAGCTCAACTGCAGCAATTCCATAACACAATCAAGTTGAAGTTTTCTTCTTCAGCCAATATGGTTGCAGCACTACAATGACTTCAGAATATGAGCTCCTGGACTCAGTTCGACCGAGTTTTCATCGGTTTGAATCTGTAACTCCCATCCTGCTCCAAACTCATGTCATAAACTTCAGAATATGAACCCTTGGATCGCCTCGAATCCTTGCCTTTTCCATACTGTCTATTACCATTATGCATCTGAGGACTAGGAACCCTTTGTCTTCTATCCAATCCAATTTGTCCTGAATTCAACTCCCTCTTAGAAGACTCGAGGTTTCTTCCATTTTCCCGACTCCCGAATTTACGACCATTGTTACTACTTGATGGTACCATGGAACTCTTCAGATAATAATCCTCTGTATCCGAGTAATCTGAATTAGCTTCTCCTTCACTCACTGACCCACTTCTCAATTTCCGGTTAGAAGACCTCCGGTAAGTCTTAAAATCATCTACTTGAAATCTAGTTTCAATTCCATTTCCAGCTTCTGAGCCCAAGCTCGAAGATCTCTTAGAAGACTGGAGGTTTCTTCCCTTTTCCCGATTCCTGAATTTACCCTCGTATGTCTTTCCTTTTTGACCATTACTACTTGATGGAACCGAGGAACTCCTCGGATAATAATCAGAGTAATTTGAATTAGCTTTTTCTTCACTCACTGACCCAATTCTTAATTTCCGGTTAGAAGACCTCCGGGGAGTCTTTAAATCGTCTTCTTGAAAACTAGTTCCAATTTCATTTCCATCTTCGGAATCCAAACTCGAAGAACCCTCCGACCCTGTTATACTTCTGTACGGCTTTACACTGTGAACCACCCCTTTCGGGAAAAACCTTGCGGAAGGCAGTTCATCAACCGTCTCAAACAATTGAGGCCCATCTTTTTCCGTCCACAAATCGAATCCACCGGGCCTCTGAAACCTATCCGCCAAGACCTTCACCTGCTCATCGGCGCCAACAGAGAACAAATTGGGAGCCTTCTCCACAACCTCCCACGGCCTCTCCAGCTCGGACACAGCCGCCTTAAGTTCAGCCCGCTTACGCATCTCATATATCTGGCGTTCGCGACACAACCGGGCCTTGAGCAACTGCTTAGCTTTCTTAGCCTGCATCCGCTTCCACTGCCACTTCGACACTCCGCCTGGATAAGTTCTTGGACCTCCACCCATTCGAATAAGCGTCGTGATCTTCGTAGCGGTCCGTATCCCATTGGGAAAGTACAAAAGGCGGTTTGAACCAGTTATGGACTGAGAGAAAGAGAATAACGGCGGTGGTCGAGGAGGGTTTGAAATTGCGAGTGAGATTGGGAAAATTGGCATTTCTTCGTCGATAATTTGAAGCCGAAGAAATCAAACGAAACGACAACTTCCAAATTGCAGATTGCTGAATACTGCAAAATTGTGGCGGAGGAGGAGGAGGAGGAGGTGCCGAGATATTCACAGCGGCGGATTGGATTTTATGGGCCGCCGGGAATGTCAAGATCTTTAGCCGAATACTGAAAGGCCCATAATGTAAAAGCCCAATGGGCTTATACTATTTTGAAAATGATTTTGCATCAATAAAAAAACAATTAAAATCTCATTTCATGAAAACATAATTTCCACGTATTATTAAGAAGTAGATAGCATAAAATAAATTAATTAATTAAAGAAAATAAAATATCAACCATGAATATATTTATATAAAATTGATGTCATAATTTAATAATAAAGTGTTCAGAATTTAATTATTAAAAAAAAAAAAAAAAAAAAAAAAAAAA